GTACTTCCTGGATTTTAGGTGTGCCTGCTTTCCATCAGCTTGAGGCCTGCTGTGAGATCCTCTTCCTGGGTGCCTGCGCTGCTCGGGATGTGCTGTCTCAATAGGAATTGCTGCTCTGTGTTCTAATATCTAAACTTTGTATCCAAACTTGTCATGTAACATATATACAAACTGAACATGTTGTATTTTTGCCAAAAAGTTGTCCTAACAAAAAAACAACAACAACAACAACAAAAAAAACACTGTGAAAAAAGTCGACATCAAGCCACGGCGAGCTGGTCGAGACATTTCTCCACAAGAAAAGGAAGAAACTGAGATTCTGGGTTCATCGAATTCTCTCAAGAAAGCAGCAGCAGGGAAAATTTCATGGTTTGATCCAGGAGTTGAAGCTGTATCACGATTTTACACTTCCAGTGTATGAAAGGCTTTACTTCTTAATGTTTCTGCCCGTTTCTTTAGTCGGCGTTTGTTTTATTTGTGGGTTCAAATTTGCTGCACAGGAAACTCGTATTTAATGGACTACTATTTTAATTTTAAAAAGTATTTGGATGTGTGGAAAGCCACCACCTCCAGCTTGCAGTTTTTTTTTTTTTAGTTATGCTCTCTCCAAAAAGCTACCTAATTAAAATATAGGTTAATCTTTTAAAGAGGGTTGGTGAAGATCACGTGCAAAAAAACAATGATGTATCAGAAAAATACAAGATGACTCAACCTGTAGCTTGTGTCAAATATAATGACATGTCAGTTTCCTGCTTCCTGTTTCATCTACAGCAGCAGGAAACCTGCCAATACATTCCCAAAGCCTCAAAAAGAAAAAAGAGTGAAAGAGTGGTGCAGGCGGAGAGCCAATTCTACTTTTGTGCAGTCTGAGAAGCAGCCATCACTTTGATAGGATTGAGAATCAAATGTTACGTAGCAATACTTTGCAGAGGTTGGTGTCATTTTAGTGGGAATAAGAATCGTGGTGGACGCTGCACCTGCCAATTTTTGGAGAAGTTGTTGCAGTAGTGTCTACCATATCCATTTAGCAGTTCCAACTTTTGGCACAGCAATTTTGGCCCCTTACATCTTGTTGGAGTGGACGGGAAAAAGAAAACAACCTTTCCTTTGAGCACAAAGAGACAAAGAGAAAATAAAGAGGCCCCCAAAATATTCCAGAAGAGATATTATCTGCATTAAACATTATAATCACTGGTCTTTCTCTGCCTTTGCTGCGACTCTCTCTGTGAAACACACATCAGCAAACACAGATTTTTAAACGTAACATTTCTCTGAGCACAGGAAGCGTTTCTAGTGAATAGCCTTTGACTTCTTGATATGCGGGCGTGTCTTCAGAGAGGCATTGACACGGACGCCTCCCCCGGGTGACGAACGCTAAGAATTCTGAAGTATAATGAAGAGTCCTTGAAAATAAATTCAAAAGTTGAAGCTGAACCTGAAAGCGGAAACACATAATGATCCTAAGAACACAAGCACATTCACTGAGGAATAGTTGCAAAAAAGGAAGAAAGAGAGGGCTAAGGAAATGGCCTGCTCAGTAAAAAAAATTTTTTATTTAAAGCCTGTGGTGAGATTTGAAACCGGCTGTACATGCAACATAACCCTCAGGCATCTTGTATCTGAAGGAATTGTGCTCGGAAAAGTGGTCAAACTTTTTTAGCGAGCTGTTGTCAGAACTGTTGAAAACCTCTACAAGAAGTTGCAGATGCCAGGGGGATTGGCATACTACAATTTGTTGACAGAAGAGTATTAACTTTATCGCTATTCTTATTTAATAAATCACATAAAATATATTTTTCTTGAGAATGTTTGAAGGTACAACATCCTTCCCTTCTTCTAGTTCATAAAGTCAATTTTATCATTTGCTTCTGTGACCATAATGACCCACACCCACCAGATGTTCAAAACCTGGGACACCACAATGGCTTTTAGAACTAAAGAAGCCTCTTGGTTGTGAAGCAAATATAAAATCAATTTTATTTATATGGCACCAACAGTCATCGTAGTTAGGGATGGGAATCGAAAACCAGTTCTTGTTGAGAACCTGTTCCCACTGTTTCAATTAATTGGAATTGTTTGCCATTTTTGTAAACGATCGATTTCAGTCACCTCGAATGACGTCACCACGTTGCGGAGCGTCATTTACCTGGCAGGAAACATGGCGCCTAAGTGGCACAAACGCTCAAAAGTTTGGTTATACTTTTTCATTTCAGGGAGGAAACACTACGAATATGCAAAAGCATTTGCTCACAAAACACACGATAACCTTAAATGAATGTCGTGTTTTTAATTCCGCTCCAGACTCGTTAATCTCAACCCAGCAGCAGCGGTAACGTTTGCACGTCCTCTTCCGTTAATGCGGCAGGTAAATAATCAACTAACAGTGCATATTATGTTAGCGCGATCTGCCTTATTACAAAACCTGCCATTAGTGTGCATTTAGGTGACCATGATGAGACAGACAGACAGTCTGGCTCAGATGCTGGCAGTTCTCGCTGCAGTCTACCGGTAGCGTCTCCTTTCAGGCCAGGACGAATGTCACCGAGCAGTGACTAAGTTTGTGGTTTACACCCATTTGCCACAGCAGATGTGTTTAATTGTAGGCAGGGACATTACTGGATATTCTTCTGTAACTGTAACTATTGCTACTGAAGAATATTTATTTTATTATTTTACATTTACAATTTTTTTCCTGGGGACCCTGTGACACCCCATTGAAGAGCCGTAGGCTGTGGATCTCTTAAGATCTCACTGTTGGGTTTGTAAGGCCATGTTACTCCTAAATTTCTATCTTGTTCAAAGAGAAGATATAAAACAAAATTCTAAGCTAATCGGCCTGTGTGTTCTCCTTTTTTAAAAACAAGAATCGATAAAGAATCGAATCGTTCAACAGAATCGAAAATGGAATCGGAATCATGAAATTCCCATCCCTAATCGTAGTGCGCTTTATATTAAGGTAAAGACCCGACAATAATACAGAGAAAACCCCAACAACGACACCTATAAGCAAGCGCTTGACAACAGTAGGGATGAAAAACAGGAAGAAACCTCTGGCAAAACCAGGCTCAGGGACGGGCGGCCATCTGCTGTGACCAGTTGGGTGTGGGGCGATAACCAAGGGGTGGTTCGGGGTGACCTGATCCAACACTAACTATGAGCTTTATCAAACTGGAAAGTTTTAAGCCTAATCATAGAAGTAGAGATGGTGTCTGTCTACCGAATCCAAACTGGGAGCTGTTTCCACAGAAGCTGAAGCCTCTGCCTTCTTTTACATCTACTTTTAAATACTCTAGGAACCACAAGTAAGCCAGCAGTCTGAGAGGAAAGGGCTCTGTTGGGATAATATGATACTATGAAGTCTTTAAGATAAGATGGAGCCTGATTATTCAAGATGTTGTATGTGAGGGGAAGGAGCCAGTGAACAGAATATAATATGGGAGGAATATGCTCTGCAGCATTTTGGATCAACTGAAGTCTTTTCAGGGAGTTTGTAGAGCGATTTGATAATAATGAACTGCAACAGTCAAGTCTAAAAGTAATAAATGCACAAGCTAGTTTTTCAGCATCACGTTTCTAATTTTAGTGATATTGCAAACATGAATTAAGGAAGTCTTACATATTTGTTTAATATGCGCACTAAGGGACATGTCCTTGACAAAAATAACTCCAAGATTCCTCACAGGGGTACAAATGTCTTCATGAACCAATAAAAGAAGCCCAGTTGCTTTCAGCTCAAACACTTAGGACTACCAAGACCTGAATGACTGACATATCAAGAGAAATGTTTTTATTAGTCTTAATAACTTTAATTCTGTGGTATTGGTCAGCTATGTTCAATAATTCAGGTTATGCCACATTCCTCTACATTTAAGATTTAACATTTTTTTAACATTTCTTTTTAAATTATGTGCATAATGGTTTAGTTTTTTAAAACATAGATGTATGCTCTGTCACTACGATAAAAAAGCGAGATAGAATCAGACTCGGAAAGACGGGAAGGTGAAGGAAGGTCTAGTGGTTATATGGACAGGGGCCAGCTGGAATGGTGCAGACAGAGTGTATATTTCTTTTCTGCCACTGAATTATAAGAGACACTCTGAAGAGACAGATGCCATAACAGATACCAAAAACTACTCTGCTCTGTCAGCAGTCAGCTCCTAAACTTCCTGTGACAGAAATAATTAAGCTGTCTGTCAACATCAGAACTAAAACATGGCTTCCTTCGTGGCTGGACACGGAAAAAGACGTTTTTTTATTTGCCAGCTCCAACATGCACAGTATTAACGTCACCCAAAATCTCAACTCCACTATTCTTTTATACTTTTTTGTACAGCTTCCATTAACCCCTCTAAGTTTGTCCAACGCCAGGATAGCAGCCTCCAGTCTTTACGCTAGGCTAACTGCCTCCGGGAATACAATCGAAAGTGGAATTTTGAAGTGGAGAGAAGCTCTCATGTGAGGTTTTTTAAGAGAGAGACCGTACAAGGACAGGTGAAAACACACGTCTTTTAGCACTACATCGACCAAGGCCCATTCACAGAGCTTCAACAAAGGCTTGAAGGCCAAAAACAAATCATTATTTATGAAGGCAAAGCATAAAATGCATTTCTGAAAGCCGCTGCTCACAAAACCCAAAACAACACAACACAGTGGAGCCATCACATATTGGGTTACTTCACACAAATGGAGATTTAAGATGGCTGCAATCAATACGCACTGACACAGGGTCATTGTTTAAAAGCGTATGAATGCGGGTACTTTAAATGTTAGCAGACAAAAGCCTTGTGAAGGTCAGAAAACAGCTGGCAGTCGATTACCCGCTAAATTGAAAAGCAAAGCAAGTATAAAACATATAATAAACTCCAACGTAGATATCAACTTTATACGACGTGAACCAGCTTTTTATCGCCAGCAAACCACGTCGGAAGGAGTCGCTTGTGTAAACCACGACGGATCAATGTGTTTCTGAGGATTAAACAAGTTAAAAAAAACAGGCTCACCTTTACATCCACGTGAGCCATGAGGACAGCAAAGTTGGTCAGATGTGTACAGGAGCATGTGGTGTGTGTCCTGTTGGTGCCTAGCAAGCGGCAGTCCTGCGTCGACCAGTAACCAGTCATGGTTCGCTTGCTGTAGCTCCAGAACGAACAGTTGGGGTTGAAGTTCTCCTCAGATTGCTGTTCGGAGGGGGAAAGACAGCAAAGGGATTTGAAGTTAATCGCACATTTGCTTGGCTTATTTCTGCTTTACTTTTATTTTCAGAGCAAACATCCTCAAAAAAACAAAGGGTCCAATTTCTCCCCAATGCAATCCATATCCATTGTAAAGTGAATAGCAGGTGTTTTTGCTGTCATAAAGCATCAAGCGGCCCCCTTGCCTGTCATCCATTGTGCTTTTTTGACCTTTCTCTTTAACTTTCACTGCGTGACAGTGAGCTGCCCCACAGCTTAATGGGCACCACTGCTGTCTGTGCCGGGCTCCGGTCCTAATGACGGGCACACCTCCCTGCCATCTTGCTCGCCATTTCATAAAAGTCACCCACAACACCGAGGCTGAGTAACAGACAAGCACAACAGAACGCAGCTGCTGATAAATAGACACATCAACAGCCTCTTCCTCTTGAGCCCAATTCTTTTGCAGCTACGAAAACAAAGAGCGAGCGTGCACACAGAGACGCACGATATCCTTTCCACAGCGACCCTCAGCTTCCAAGGTTAAACGCGTCTGCGTTCTTGCTGGAGATGCTGGGCGATGCTGCAGCTTTTCATAGTTTCACACGCTGCAGGGTGATTAGTCTAATAACGTTTATCCTCTGCGAATGTAAATTTGCCGCTGATTGAGTTTACCCTTCACACACCCAAACCCTGCGTTAAATATTACACGGAGAGGAGGTAGGATGACCCTCTGTCCCATTAATGGCTTTAATTGGTCCCATTAAGTGGCGAGGCAAGGAAGCGAAACCATAACTAGAGGACACATCATCATCTCAGAAGACCAGTCATCCAAAACCGCATGGTTTAGATGTTAATTTTCAAGGGCAAAGTTGAGCTAGATTCAACTTAGAAGAGCTATAAGACAAGTACCTTGGATTTAGTATGGAAGCCTAATATAGAAGTAATGTAATGCCTACACTATACAGTGGCTGGATTCGGTTTACATGAAGCTGCTATGTACCTCAAGTTGTTTCACACAGTGGATGGACTGTAGCTGTACTAAGGCCCATATAAATACACCAATACCTAATGCTGTGCTGGTTCCCATTTTACTCCCAGAACAGCCCTGACCAGTCGAGACATGGACTCCATGAGACCCCTGAAGCTTTGCTGTGGTATTTGGCACAAAGATGTTAACAACAAATCCTGCAAGGTGTGAAGTGGAACATCTGTGGATCCGACTCCTTCGTCCAGCACATCCCAAAGATGCTCGATTGGACCGAGATCTGCAGAATTTGGAGGCAAAATCAACACCTCAAACTCGTTGTTGTGCTCCTCAAATTATACCTGAACCATTTCTGCTTTCTGGCCACTATCAGGGAATACAGTTTTTATGAAAGGGTGCACATGATCCACAACAGTGCTTCTGTAGGTGGTGTCAAAGTAACATCTGCATTAACGGCACGACCCGAGGTTTGAAGCATCACATTGCATAATGCATCCTGGTGTCAGGTGTTCCCCAGGTAAGCAACACACACGATTCAACATAGCAGGACACGTCCTTCCACTGCATCCAGTTCTTATGCTCACGTGACCATTGTTGATGGTTTTGGTGGTGAACAGAGGTCAGCACGGGCACCCTGACTCGTCTACAGCTATGCAGCCCCCTACACTTCCTTGGAGCCCTTTTTGATAGATAATCACCACTGCAGACTGGCGCCGGCCATCACAGTTTGGTCCTTGTCAAACTCCCTCAAATGTTTACAGTTGGCCATTTCTTCTGCTGCTAACAGATCAACACTGAGGACAAAATGTTCACTTGCTCACTAATATATCCCACCCAGAGCAAAAGCAATCCAAGAACAAACATATGGAGTTGTAAATGAGCAGAGTAGTACTCACATATCACAGTCTTTACAGTTTTATCACACCAGAATATAATAAGCAAATAGAGACCCGTTAAACGAAGAGCTCATTCAGCAGCACCTCTGTTTGGTTTACAAGAACAGGGAGCTCTCGATTTGATGCAACAGTCAATACTATATATAATAATGCAACCAATCAAATTTAATTAACGGAGGAAGACGAGATTATAATCACGACTATCATGCGATTAACTGTACAGCCCCTCATGAGGACGAGATTTGCTTTAAAAATAAATCTTTTTATTTTGGCGAGGGCACATTTACGTGAGGAAAAGACGAGGCGGCTCTCTTGGCACACTGCAGGACTACAAGCAGGAGAAGCTTTTCCAAAAGGGCACTTTTTATTGAAATGACTTGATCTGAGCTAGAAAAGGGTATAAAAAGCGCCAGTACCCTAACATTAGAGCAACAGTAAAATTAGTGAATCTACAGTCCAAATTACAAATTACACTTAAGGCAGGTGAGTCAGAGCAATAACTGCGCTGACATTGCCCCCCTGACATTTCCCCACCACTTAATTTTTGACTTCCATAAGCTATCGTCCCTTTCTCTTATTCCCTCCCTCCCTCTGCGCTCTGGGTCCTTTTCCTTTTTTTTCTGCTGTTGTAGCTTTCTTCCAGGTCCCTCCCACACGCGAGACCCGCCGCAATTCTGCTATGGTTGCTCAACATCTCCGGTAATAGCTGAAGGCTCTGTTTGCAGACAAAACAGGGATATTTTGAGGGTAGCAGAGTGTGGAGAAGATAATAGAGTCAAGAGGGGAAAGTCACGACTCCCCACAATGACTAAGCAGCCTCCATCGAGGCCGAATATGACTGATATTTGTTCAGGAGATCAGGTTGCTGTTCAAACTAATAAACAACAAGGTGTTCTTGCCATCACCCTGTGAGCAACGTTGTTTTCCACAATTTAATTTTCCACACCTTTCCTTGAATAAAACTTGTTCACATTCGCTTAATTTTCCCGGGTTTGTGATGGGATTTGTACGTTTTGTTGCGCTTCGGTGATAGAGGAAATCGTGATGACAGGTGCTATCAAGAAAGTGAATGTGTGAGCGCATTTTTTGTACGTGAATGAAAAAAATCAGAGGCACTGACATCAAAGTGAAACCCATCTCTCAGATACACAAACATGCGGAGAATTACCTGCAGATGTCTAATGGTGAAAATGACCGGGTCAGAGAGGTAGACTTTGTTAGAGTCCTTGTTGATGGCGGCTGTGATGACCGGCGAGTTGACGATCACAGAGTAGTTGGTGGCCAGGGCTTCACTGCCCAGCTTCATGCTGGCGTTCTCAGTTGAAAGATAGACCCCGATGTGCTTGTACAGGACGAACGCTATTCGGATTTCACCTGCAAGAGGACAGTTATGAACAGTCTCGCACTGATTAAAGAACGCACTGGATGGGGTATCACTTCATTTTAAAATAGATCTTTCACACTCACACACACACACACACACACACACACACACACACACACACACACACACACACACACACACACAGTAAGGCTGGGCACTGATAGGAGAGTCACTGGCCAGTCTTCTAAGCTAAACATGTTTTCAGACAGTAAACAGTTTCCTGCTCGCTTTCAGTGATGATTGAGTGCTTTGACTATTGGCTAAAACTTCCTCAACCAGTGGCTTTAAATCATGTCCCGTCCCCTTTAAAGATGTCCCGTGAAAAGACATTGAACTATAGTTTCTTTCTTTCTTTCTTCTTTTTTCCCTAGCTGGCGGTCAGGAGGACAGGTCGCCCGAAGCCAATACGTCGCAGTGGGTGCCGTAGGGTTTCCATCTTGGTCAACGATGCACTTCCAGGCCTTGTGATATCTGGCCTTGACCTTTGCTTGATCGAGGATGAGACGTCGTTGTTTAAGATCATCTTCAATTTGCTTGATCCAACTCTTCTTGGGCGCATGTCTCCAGTGGGGTGCTGCTACAGCAGAATGCGATATGGCAGGCGATGGTCACTCATGCGGCAGATGAAGTCGTCACTTCTAGATCAGCTCTTCCATCGAGGGCTGCTGGTGACACTGACTACATACCACGCTGTGGCTGAGACGGTCACCGAGCGACAATGAGAATCTGATGCAAACAGCACATTTGGAAGACCTCGAGCTTGTTGAGGTCGTGCTTGATTATGACCCAGGTCTCGGATCCATAGAGAAGAATGGGCAATACCAGTGTGCAGTACAGGCGGATTTAGTGATGAGGGTGACGTTTGTCTTCTTCCAGATGCACCATCGGAGGGAGGCGAAAGCCGCCGCTGCCGCCTGAACGATTCTTGAGTGTACTTCCGCCGTTGATGCCACTTTCTTTTCTTGCACCAGAGAGCCGAGGTATCTGAACTATAGTTTAAAATGGTTTATACTCAATGTTTTTTTGGATTGTGTCCACAAACCTAGGGTGCAGTACTACTTACATAATGTGAAAACAATGCACATGATAATCTGTCGTGTTATTTATACCGCTCACACAGCACACTCAAATTAGAAAAATGCTAAAAGTGATAACGAATGGACCCACTCACTAAACAAAGCTTCTTAAATCTGAAGTCAGAGCAGCACATAGTACAGACAACAGACAGGGCTACAAATATGGCTGCACACGAGGCAGAAAAGCAGAAATCATTCAGAAATCATCAGACTTAAATAAAAAAAACAGGACTCCTATTGGCACTGACAAAGGCAACCATTTTTCTTGTTAATCATTTCCTCCTTTTTCCTCTCCCCATTGCCTCCTGCTGTCTCACTTTTGTGCATTCAAAGTTCCCTCCCGCCGTGTCTGAGATCACTCACTCTGATGAAAAGAAAACAATTTGGGTGCTGTGGAACTGCGTATCGGGGAAATATTCGCCACCCTGCTATAATGATCCGCCTGGGCACGGCTGGACATGGACTTAGTCATCCAGCACAGACACGGGGACGCAGCTTGAGTCGATTCTGATTTGCATGAGCTGATAATAAAAGTCTAAAAATGGGGCGACACTGCTCCCAAAGATATCTATGTATAGAGTCTAACTGCCTCATTTACAGTTTAGTGGCAGAGCTTGAATGTAACTAATTCAACAGCCAGGGTCTTATTCAGAGGCTGCAGAAAGATCTAAGCGCTTTATATGCAGACCAACAAAGGACTGGGGAAGCAAAGCAAAAGTTATTCACCAGCATCTGTGATAAAATTCCTCCAAAACCAATGGAGGCCCATGCAATGACACAAGTGGAAGAAGCAAAAAAGAAAAGACGACAAACAGCAAAAGAATTTTTGATTAATTACAGCAGCTCTCGTAAGCCAAGTAACATAACAATATTTCTATTGTAGCAAAGTTGAAACTTTTCTCTTAAATTTATCATAACCATGAATAATAAAACACAGAGTGAAGGCGCGCATGAGCCAAGATTGCACTTCAAACCCACAATACGGGAGCAATAAAAGCAAATTCAAAAGGTCGAACTTCTTACCGTTTCTTCCGTGCTGCTTCAGTGTGTTCGCTGAGAGGTGGATAGAGTTGCCTTGTCCTCCGGATTGTGGGAACTTCAGATCAGGCAAATTCCCATCTGTGCTCATTCTCGCTACCTCCAGCTCTGCACAAAATAGAACAAACCCAAGCAAGCAAACAACATTAAGCAATCAATAGAGGGCTACAGCAACCGCTTTGGACACTGGGGTCCTGTCTCTCAACTAAGAATTTAGCTAGAGTATCGAGTACATGGAAAGTATTTTGTCTGACTCACTTCTTTTACAACATTAATAAAAAATCTCAGAGTTATAGCCTTGACACAGAGCTGGATGTTCCTTTCCCCAATTCAAACCAAGCTGACTTTACTTATTTTTTTTGACTTTTCTATGACTTCCATGACTGGTTTACAAAATGGCTCCTGGGAAGAACAACAACAAGCAACCGACTGAATCATTGTATCAAATTTTTGTTTTTCCAAGCCCGTAAATAAGCATGCAGAGCAGTACCCAAAAGTTTGGGAACACTTTGAAAAGTCTTCATAAAATATGTACACAGTCAAACAATCACTGCTTTATTTTAATGACATGTTGTATTATCTAATGCAATTTTATCATTTTAATTGATGACATGAGCAAAGATGGTTAAAGAAGCAATAAACTTGGCTTGAGTTTGAAGCACTGGCCCCAGAAAAAGATAAACACCAGGGTTTGCAACTCCCTTCATGGATAACCGTCTTTAAGTCTGACGTCATTAGCCATTTTCCGGGTCCAACCTCAACCTCTGCTTCAGGTCCCAAAGTAAAACATACACTGCAGCATCACAGACAGTCACGGGCTAAATTATTTCATCTGTAATAAAATGTTCGATGTGGCTGCTCTACCAGGTGTAACAATTACGTTTAAAATCCAGGCATCCATGAAAACAGAGTTTATTAACTTTAACAGAGTGAGAAGTTAGCCGGACGTTAGCTCGCTAGTTCCCACCTAAACATGATATAGCATGTTCTGACCGAGAGATTTCTGAAAAAATTAAAACGTACAGCTCTGCTATCACTTCCAACATAATTGAAGACAGAAAAGTAAACAGCAGCGACATTTGTAGGGTTACTGAAGTTGGATTAGCTTTATATAATGATGTGCTATGTGGTGGCTAGCTAAACAGCTATGGTTAGCATAACATAAAGACAGTGAAGCTGGAGGATGAACGCTAACTTTTTAATGTGAGGGTTCCTGATAGTTTGGGACAGATGCAATTACATGACAGAATCCTGTAAACGCACTGAACTTCAGTCAGGAGAACAACTGAGATAATCCATCCACAATAAAAGCTTAGTCATTAACATACAGCTGCATGGGCTGGGCTGTAGTTATTGTAAGGCTTTAAAAACTGAGTTTAAAATGAACAGTGACAATAAAAAATGAGAGAGGCCAACAGTGATCACTGACTTTGTAGGGGCTTGTTGAGATTTAATAGAACAAGATACAAAGCAATAAAACACGCTAAAAAGACAACAGCATTAATAAACGCAGAGTAGTTTCGACCCGGAAACAGGGTTCATACGTCATCACCTAAACACCGGATAGGACAAACTGATCAGCATCTTTAACTGGTGAAAAAACATCTGGCCTCGTCAACAAGCTACTCCGATTTATATTTAGGGAAGCCAGATTGCACTGGATAGTGGAGGGAGTAGCAGACAACGCTGCAGGAAATCATCACTTTTTCAGCATTTTTCCAAAAGAAAGTCATTTTTTTAGAGCTGCATTTTGACGCTATTATTAGCTGATGCTCCGGCAACTCAACTAGAAAGATCTATTGCTTCTTTAATCAGCACCAAAGTTTCAAACTATGCTAACATAACAAAGTTTCCTCTGATGATCAATCAAACTTTTCACATGATAAGCTCGCATTAGGTAATAACATGTCCCATTCGTGATGGTAACAGATATTAGATTAAAAATCATAAGTCATCCAAATCCATTCATTACTGGTCGTTTACAACTTCTCTCATCAGTTTTTATGCTTCATAGGTACATGAAGAAAAGCAGTTTTTCAAAAGCCAGCATTAATCACTGCATCGCCAAAGAGCTCTAAATACAACACATCCTCACTTGATTCACTCAGCATTGACAGAAGAAGTTATCTGTTGCGACTGTGTACAGTTTACACATGGCAATGTTGTTTTTCCCCTAAACTGTAACAACAAAGGCTGTCTTTGCTTTATTAAAAAAAAAGACACCTTCATTCTGAGGAATCTTTTTCTCTTGAAGAGCACAGAGAGTGAACGATGCAAGGAGAAAATAAAGACCGACGGGACAAGACAAGCTCGCTTCTGCAGCAGTTCAACAGCTGTTGTGTCTGAAGCGAGCACCGAGCTCCTAATTTATGGTTCAAAGACTCTGGTGTCACGCAGCAGAGGAAAATGAGCTGCTGATAGGAGCCTGGCTCAAATAAAAATCTCGTTCCATCAAAGTTATTACGGCATGATACAATTCAATTTAATAAAGCAGTCTAGTGTGCTCCTCTCTTAAGTACAGGTGACCTGTGTGAAGTCTAGGCATTCCTAAATGTCAAATTAACTCCCAGAGCGCTGAGATGAGTCTGCTGATTCACAGCTCGGTAGAAATACAGAAAAGAAGTTACACAAATGCACATTTCTAAATGTGCGGTGTGGATTAATAGAGGCTGTGGGTGTAAGTAAACAATGCTGACGTTTATGTAAGAGATTACAGTTTTAGCCACGATTGTGCAGCTCTTGTAAAGAAATGTCACTGCAAATGTGTAAAATCTGGTATAAGCTGAAGAAACGGAAATGTATTAACGGAAATGGTATTAATAGGTTATATTGTAATCTAGACACCTACAGACTTCCATGAGATGGAAAAACAATGGGACAGTCCAACAAGCAGTGACCAGCTTACAGTAAAAACCGAAACCGCAGGAAAACAGCAAATGAAAAGCTGTAAGACCCTACGTCTTCTTCTTAATCCTTATAAAAAAAAACTGGCACTCACCAGAGCCACCCCTCAGCATCTTTGTAGATGCACCTGTGGTATAAAGGTCAAAATCCTAGGTGTTTTTCAGAAAAGTTGACCTCTGACCTTGAGGTCAAGGTCACCAGGATTCAATTTGAAAATCCCAAGTGACCACATTTTTAAGTTATGGCATTCACAAGATTGCCTCGACCTCTGACCTCTCATGTAAAGCACAAACTGTGGATAAAAGATGGCCAGTGAGGTGAATTCTTTCTAACGGCCAGCAGGGGGTGGCTACTCTGGTTTCAAAAAGTATGTCCAAATGCATAGAAGTGTGTGAAAAATATAATCTTAGGAAACATTTCTTTTTCGTTGAGGGTCTTTTTTGTTTTTTTCATTAAAGTATAATGTTTATTTTGTAAATTGTAGTCCCATTTAAACTGAAAATGGATAGAAAAAAAGAGACACTTTTAGGCTGTGTCTACTTTGATTGACAAAGTGCTACCACATGAGCGTGCAATGGTAAATGGATTGGTGCTCAAATAGGACTTTTTAAAGTTGTACTACAGACACTTTCATCCAGCACCTTTTTACTCACTTCAGCACTCAAATTGCCTTCCACTACAAGTCCCATTCACCCATTCATACATGCATTCATACTTTTATCGACTTCGAAGTGCTTTCTTACCTTCACACACACACAAACACTCTCACACTCTGATGGATGCTTCAAGGGCAACTTGAGGTTCGGTATCTTGCCCAAGGGTACTCCAGCGTGCGGACTGGAGGAGTCAATGATCAATCCACTGACCTTCTAATTAGTAGCCAACCCGCTCTACCTGCTGAGCCTCAGCCGGCAGTCAGACACCTAACCAGTGATGTTTGGCTCAAAGACAAAAAGATGGCGGTTGCCAGCTTGGTACGGATTTCTTTGACTTACATGTCTCTGCTACGTTTTTTTTAATGCTTTCTAACGATGGCGACATGATCAGTTTGAGGAATGCGTTCTGAAAAATAGTAACAATCACGTCTTTTTTTTCCTAGCCTTTATTGATAGGATAGTCAGGAGAACAGTAACGCAGGGGCCGAGTGGGAGAGCGACACGCAGATAATGACTCGAACCCAGGCCTCTGCAACAGCCTTTCCACTTACAGGTCGCCTTCTCGAGTAAGCGAGCCACACCAGTTCACCCAAAACACCGTTTGAATGAGGTGACTGCCGGCTACGATCAGTCCAGACATCCGCTGCCAGCTAAATGCCACTCAGTTATAATGCGACTCGCCAGGAGTGGCAGCCTATCCAGAGTTCTACTTGAACTAGCAGGCAGATTAGTCTGTAGTGGAGAATCTCAACTTGAAACAAAAATTGATTCAGTGTAAGAAAAAGAAACTTAATTAAGGCCGATAAGGCATTCAGCTGATGATCTCATGTCAGCGGACTGTGACACCTCTGACTTTGATAAAGGTTACAGCCAACAGGAAGCTACGAAGAGGCCACATTTAATCCTGCCTTTGGATCTGTTCTCATACCAGGGTTTCCCATAAAAAAAATCTTTTGTATTAGCATTCTCCTGCGCTTTTGTAAAGGCCAGGGGGTTGTGATACATTCCTATTCAACTTAGCTAAGACAATACCCCAGATAGCTTACTGTTCCCTGGATTCCAAGAGGCTGCCTTCTGAATAAAGGAAGCATTTTTCCGTCTCCCTCCCTCTCTCCCTCTCCCCCTTGCTGTCTTTCTTTTCCCCTGTGCGGTTGTGTAAAAGAGCTTACGACGGGCTTTAGGGAATTTCTTTGATGCCATAGGAGTTGTTGGACCCCGAAGGCTATACCTTCAAAGCTGGTTTAAATAACACGCTAATCGGCAGAAATCTGTTCACAAGATTATCATGCAGAGAGCGGAGCGCGCGCTCTCTCGCAGACAAAAGCTCGAGACGGGCACACGCAGCGTGGCGCGTAAACACAAACACAGACACAATGACTGCAGAAATATCCTTCTTTGAAAGCGCACAGAATAGATCTCATTATCAGCTTGAGCCTGAAATTATAGCAAGGCTTTTTAAAAAGGGTTCGAGATTCGCTTTAAAGCGAGAGAACCAGCTCGGCCTGACGCTGAAAGGACGTCTCCAGGTGTCTTAAGTGCAGTGCACCTGCTCACACACACACACACACACACACACACACACACACACACACACACACACACACACACACACACACACACACTCTTAATGTCACATGCAAGGCAAAGTGAGGGATAAGTAATTAGCTGCTGTAGTGATTACAAATGTTTGGAAGGGCCCCCTTGTCCTCATTTAACTACCCTGCATGGCATGAGGGATTGCAGGAGGCGACTGGCTGGGTAAAAAGAAAAAAAAAAAAGCCCAGCAAACAGAGAGATAAGGCCCAGTAAACATGTCACCAGCACATAATTAACCAGACTACCACAGTGTGCTATAAAATCTCACTCGTGTTTTGCAGGCATCGTTTCATCCCCCCTTCTCCAAACGAGCCCAGAATCTCCTTAATACCCAGATGAATTGTGTGCCAGATACAATAAAACCCATTTTATTAATTCTCCTTACGCTCGCCTCCTTTTAAGCCAGCAGACCTATATTTTTAGGTTGCCATGGCAGCAGGAACTTTGGGGGGGGGGATGGGATAAAAATCCTATGTCTTCAGAGAATAGGGCGATACATCATGGCATTATTTTTGCCCCGCTAGCTCCAATTATTTAAGTTTTACACGGTTCTCGATGTAAGCTGCAAAAAAAAAAGAAAGTCCCAGCGACGGATGCATCCAGTTTGGAATTACCCCACCAGAGACAACCGTAATGACACAACTTCTATTATCTGAGCTCGCTTGGTATTTATACACTGAATAATGAGCACCGATCCCTGATCTGCAGCACCAGTGGTTAATTCCTGCTAATAACTGACACGAATATAAACACAATCATTAGAGATAATTGTCAGTTTACAGCCGGCTGCCATCAGCTATAAGCAGCCCTGCCAGATTTCACCTCCTGCAAGACAGAGAGCATTACTCCAGTGACCTTCACACTTGATCCAACACCTCAAAAGCTCCCCTGTCAGCGCGAGGGGATCAATAGTTGCGTGGTGAACTTCGTGTGCCTGTGCAACAAGCAAGATCGGCCAAGGCTCTTTAGGCACGTGAGAGAAAAATACTGGGAAAAACAAACGATAGCAAATAAAAATGCAACGACAGAAACGAACGCTCGGCTCTTTAAACTCATCTTATGATTGTCTGTCATAATTGGAAAATGCAGTGTCTTCCAGATGAGCTAATAATCTGTTTCCCAGCAGCTTGAGAACATAATTCTACCCAAGCTGGTTCACTCAAACAAAGAACGCCAAATTAAATGTAATGTGCTCGCTGGCATTCAATTTCACATCCATCCACTCATCCATATATCCATCCACTAATTCATCCATCTATCATCCACTCATCCATCCATCCACTAATTCATCCACTAATTCATCCATCCAACCATCCACCCATCTATCATCCACTCATCCATCCATCCACTAATACAGCCATCCACCTGTAATTCATCTGTCTATCCATACATCCAACCATCTATCATCCATCCATCCGCTCATCCATGTAACGATCTATCCATCCACTTATCCATCCACTCATCCATCCATCCACTCATCCATCCACTAATACAGCCATCCACCCACTAATTCATCCATCTATCCAACCAATCCATCCATCCACTCATTCATCCATCCATCCATCCATCCATCCATCCATCCATCCATCCATCCATCCACTCATTCATCCATCCATCCATCCATCCATCCATCCACTCATTCATCCATCCATCCATCCACTCATTCATCCATCCATCCATCCATCCATCCATCCACTCATTCATACATCCATCCATCAATCCATTCATCCATCAATCCATTCATCCATCCACCCTAAAAAAAGAAAGGAAAGAGAAATCCGTCCATGAGGTTTTCCCCTCATTCAAACATTTAGATAACTTCAAATAATTAATGTGTATTTTTAACTTGGTAAACAACCGTTTTTGTTTAATGACTACAGCCACTACATTAAACACATTACCACACATACTATATTGCTTAATGATCATTAGAAAAGGAGGCAATAAAATAGTAAATGTTTCATTTACCATATACCGTATACTTTCAAAGGAATGCATTAGTCAGTGTGTTGTAAACTGGCACTCTCTTTCTTACAAATCATCTGATTTTGCATACATGTACGTGTTTTATTTTGCTTTTTTTTTTTACATGACAACATGCAAACTGCAAGCGTGGCTGTGCATACTTACGGATGTTGTCGGTGTTCTCTTGCACGATGTCCGTCTTGAGCAGGTTATCAGCCAGGACGAAGGCTCCCTGCTCGACCGTGTCCAGCAGCATGGTGGCGGCCCTCAGCTGCTCGCCTGTGCTCAGCTCCCTCCAAGCCGCCTGGGCCTGCGGCTGTAGCAAATTGTTGACGGTCTCCACCATGGCCTAGGGAGTTCAAATCATTGATTTAGTGAGCGGAAGCTAAGCTGGCCTGGGACTGCGGCAGCTTGACGTGGCGATGTGGTAAATGGTTTGAGTGAAGGAAGATCAAAGGGAGCTGAGCACTGAGAAACAAATCGCACAATCCTGTGGGACTGTGTGAGGAAGAAGCGTGGAGAGTTTCTTTTTTCACCCCTTTCTCTTTTTCATTTTAGCTTAAATTTCATAATAATTTTTATATTGAGCAATTTCACGAGTCTATTTCCCATTCACTTAAAAGACATGGATCATCGACCTGCAGCAGCGACACCTGAATCTGTAATGACAATGGATGTTGCTCTCTTGTGTTTTTGCTGCTGTTTGCTTTTATCTACAGGGAGAAAAAAAATAATCATGTAAATGAATCAGAGTCAGTGCTCACAAGTCCAGAGACCAATTCTTACATGACTTAAGGCAACGGTCTTTAATTGGTGTGATAAATGTTCTTCCATGCAGACAATCCCAATGCACAAACGCACTACAAAATAAATGGATAAATAAATTTTATAAAAATTAATAATTATAACACAACAATTTTCAAGGGATGTAAAAGATCTTTGCTAGCAGCAGCAGCTATCTGCAGCCATTCGAATCGGATCTTCTCTGCATATTAATGTCGTCGAAGGACTAATATGCCATCTTTAATCTCCCCGCAACAATGCCGGAGTGGGTAAGCAAGGAGGAAACAAGAACATCCTCCAGACAAGATGAAAAATTAAGAGCCATTAAAGATTTAAAAATGCCAATGGCGAGATTTAGGAATGGAATACTAATTGGTCAAGCAAGGCAATTCATTCCTGGTACCAGTGCTCCGAAAGAGCTAAAAGAGCCTGACCGCCGCTGGGACAAAAAAAAGAAGCTGTTTCTAAGCCATTACACTGCAGTAGGGGGCTAATAATGCTAGTAATAGTCGCTTTTCCGGGCTTCATCATGAAAATCACAGATTTAATTCAGTTTAAAAAAAAAAAAAAGGTCAAATTTGGATTCCCTCTTTACGCTTCTTTAAAAGCAATTGTGACAGTTTGTGCAATTGTGACATCCCGAAAGTGGAAGTGAAGGTGCACGTGAACGTTGGTAATGCCACACCACAGAACGCCCTCTCTTTTTTGATCAATGGATTTATGAAGGGGAATAAGAGCTTTAGTACGACTCCACAACAGCATGGGGATAAAGCTAAAGGCGATAAGAGGAGCCATGTGCTCGAGTGTATTAAAAGCATTCCTCATAAAAAAAAAAGGTGGGGGTGGGGGTTACAGTCACGTGGAATAAATCTAATAGCTCCCCCAGCCTCGGATACTTTATAATTTTAACTTTATGTTTGTCTCCAGCCACCGTGATAGCAAGAGGAGTCAGAGCACTGATTGGGAATTTCAAATAGCACCAGCTGGCTGTTCCCCATTCAAAACATACCCTGTACACATTAATCCGCCCACACACAGTCACAGACACACACAGCACTCAGAGGCTGACGCAAGAGAGAGCACACACCTCTGCACCTGTTAGTATACAGGAACATACACAAAGTCAGTGGCAGGCACATACGCCGACTGCAAGCCGTGCCGGGTAATACAGCCACACACACACACACACACACACACACACACACACACACACACACACACACACACACACACACACACACACACAAGCAGTGCACCAACTTTGATGTAATTATTCATTATCTGCAGCCAATCTCCAATCACACCTTCTGACATTCAGCTAGAGGCAAAGGTTGATTCACTCTCAATTAAGGAGCTCTCTTTCTTCAGGCACTGACATTTTTTTTCCCCTTCTTTGTTCCCTCCTGCAAGATTTGCTTTCAGCACTTCTTAAAACACTGAAATAATGGTTCTTCGGGGGGGAACGATTGATGGACTCGCAGACGAGGTCGTCTCGCTTTTTTTCTTCCACATGCACAATAGATGCAAAAGGAGAACAAGGTGGCAGACCAGTCCAATCCTGGGGCTGGAGGGCTGGATCAGAAAACGTGACGTCCGAAATTAATATTGGAATAAAGGATCGGCTCTCACACTGGTCCTTCAGGCATTTTATTTTTTTTATTAGATCAGCTAAAAGAAAAGCAATAAAGCTGACATTGATGCACGCCGCGTCATTTGGATGCAACAGATTAACCAAACCACTGTGACACAAATTACTCATTACTGTTATTAATATGTATAGAGCATGCAAATCTTTACCTCATTTAAACCAGAGAATGATATTATGACACAAACACTATAGGATATTGTCACTGTGTTGGACTGACAGTATATGCTAGACCTGATAAGACCTGAAATTGAGCATGCGGTTCCAATATGCCATTACATTGTAATGCAAAAATGTATTCTTCAGTGTTTATAATAACCGGCAGCCGGGCTGGTTTATGATGAAGAAGCTACAGACAAATTGTGTTGGAAGGAAAATCCAAGGCAAACTTTATCCTTCTGCACCGAAACTCCCATTATCATAATACTTTTTGTGCTCATTTCAGGCCTGTGTTTTGTAAAATAATATGCAACAATTTTGACGGCTAAAATAATTTCAGATAAAGGTCACAGCGAAGGAAAAATAGCTTCTGTGCCAATACACTGTGTCACCCCGTGTTCATCTGTTCGTACACTGCAGCAATGAATGAGCACTTTAAATCTGCAATTTAAAGGCTGAACGTGTTGCCGAAATGTCAGATATTTAGTCAAGCAGTATATGGATATACTTTTATTAGATTTCTTGTAGGTAAAGTCATGTGATTGTATGCACTCCTGTGAAAAAATAAGCACATCCTTGTAACCAAGTGCTGCTAACCAAATGTACTTAATTAGCAAATAGTCTGGTTTGGAGCATTCAGCTGTGTATTAGCACAATGCCACAATCTTCCCAGGAGTGGACATCTCAGCAAATGCACTCCAGGGTGCAATGCAAGGCTAAGGGAAACTCTAGAAAACCCCAAGAGCAACATGTCAGACTCTACAGGGCTCAGTTAGAATGTTAAAAGTTCAAGTTCATGGCAGCCAAGTTTGGTTGGAAGGGTTAAACAACATGGCAGCATGGCTTAGCTTTGCAAAGCTGCGTCTGAACAAACAAAAAGACTTCTGTAACTTTGGGCAGATGAGACCCAATTGGATGTGTTTGACCATAATGTAGAGCAGTGGTCCCCAACCTTTTTTGCACCACGGACCGGTTTATGTCCGACAATATTTTCACGGACCGGCCTTTAAGGTGTTGCGGATAAATACAACAAAATTAAACCAGTATCTGTAACAAAAAAAGATGATTGATTCATAACACACGGGACAAGACCCAGGGAAACCGAGTTAACGATAAAAATGATTTTAAAAAATAACGCTAAAAACCGATAAAACCCCTGAAAACCATGAATTTCAAACCCGAGCCTCAATTCTTCCGGCCCGGTACCAAATGACTCACGGTAGCGGTCCGCGGCCTGGGGGGTTGGGGACTGCTGATGTAGAGCACCACGTTTGAGAACACTAAACATGGCGTATCAGCACAAACGCCTAAATCATCCTGAATCATAGTGGTGGTGGAAAGATGACGACTTGTGCTTGTTCAATGGGCTCAGGGTCTGGGCACCTTGAGCGATGGTGACCTCCTCTGTGTATCAAAGTATTCTAGATTCAAATATGAGACCATATGAGGCTAAAACAAAAGGACAAAAGGACAATGATCCCAAATACAGCAACAAATCTACAACAGAACCACTGAAAACAAAGAGAATCAAGATGCCACAATGGCCCAAAGTCCAACCTTCAACCTGAGTACATTAAGGAAATATTGCACATGTTTAAATAATAGGCTTTAGAGATGCTGGCAGCAAATCTGGCTTCCCTTTGGAGAAATCCAGGGTAGTCATGATTTCCTGTTTCCATATTTGTGAGAAGTTTGGGTAAATGGTTACTTTGGTTAGCTTCAAATTTCCAGTATAGGCAGGAAAAGGACACCAAGCTCTTAACCTAATATTCCAAACTGTTTATGTCTAATGTTCAACTGTTTTTCAATGGACGCTATTTTGTGAAGCAATCCATTGTGAATACTCAGTGGTGACACCGTGTTCTTTATTTACGAAAGCTAGCGGCATCTTTACCCGTCTTCCCATTAGATCAGGCTGTCACATTTTACTTTTTCTCCAAGATCTTTCACCCAAAGGCAAATCTCTAGTCTGCAATATGTTGCCATGGATTGATCAAAAAGCAAAGTTTCTTGGCACAGGCAGTAGGTTAAAGAGGTTTGCTTTGAAACATGAATGAATAAAAATAATAACATTAATTAAATAAAGTAAAAGTGAAAAAATGCAGTTAAAGGGAAATACTAACAGTCATTAAGTCAACTTTCCCTTTTCCAGTGAAGACCCTGGCCATTTGCTCACGTCGAAAGTTGTCATTTTGCAGTCCACAGCTCTTGTGTTTGAACTCTTAAATTAAATCCACCCACATGTTAAACCATTGTTGAACCCCAGAATTAATGGAAAAGACAACAAACCAAAGAAAAAATGATCAAAGCTCTTTCACTGGACCTAAAAGGTTAATGGCTGTGTTTAGCACAAATAAACACATCCAGAAAATCTTTTTATTAAACTGATGGACCTGAGGAACACGCTAGCCCTGCCTACATCGTCAGGCTACTAGACAGCTAAAATACCCAACAATTCCCAGGAGCTAACAAGTCCAAAGGCATGCTTGTTAGATTAATTGGTGATATCCGTATCCATCTATCCATGCAGCCATACAACAGGCAAGTATGGCTGCCAGTGAAAGTGGGCCTCTAGTGGTTATTGATCACATGACTGCTGATAGAAGCAGCAGGATGAATTGTGAAGTTCTGAGAGCTATACTCTCTGCTTACATTCCCCCAAATGCTGCAAAAATTATAAGCAGCACTTCACAGGGCAACTAGATAATGGCCAAAAGCACACTGCAAAAGCAACCCAAGAGTTTCTAAATGTAATGAAATAG